TAACGCGTTGGTTGGTGATCTATTGATCGTTTTCTCGGCACTAATATTTGTCAGATCGACAACTTGTATATCGCGCAAAATCGTTCTCGATTGAAATGATACTCTTATCTAATCAGTATATATGTCACACTCACGTTGACAAACGATTCGCTTGAATGAGTTCAATGTGCACGAAGTTCTACTTCTACCATGTCATAAAGAGAGATTATGAAAATAACATGAAATTAAAGTATTATTAGTCGTGAAAGCCTATTTAAAAAAATCTCCTTCGTGGTCTATTTATTCGCAAAATTCACTTCACATGTAAAGTTCAACAATTCAGAACCCGTTCAAGTGTCTTATTTATAAGATCAATCAATATTATTAGTCTTGTAAGCTTCGTGCGCTGATTAAATTGTAAAGTTTGTTAACTTCAACAGCACATTAATATATGCAAAATTTCGGGGGAGGGTTCTAAATCACCACACTGGCAAACGACAACGTGAATCTCGACCCGCTCGATTTCCTCCGATCGTCCGGAAATTCGCATGTTAATCCAAAATTACGATTTATCGTCGACGCTCGGTGAGCCGTGTCGCGTGACGAAAGGGTCACTCTGAAAATCGCGCGTGGCCGTTCCCGTCGACGGTGTTGGGTGCACTGGAGCCCGACCTGGGCTTCGTGTTTACATCGGACTGAAACGTGCTGACGGCACCACGCCTTGGTAGGCTTCCGTCGTTTCAGGCAGCCGGCACACCGATACCAACACCAACGCGCAACGCGCAGCACTCGCTTATCGGCGCTGAAACGCGGTGAACTATTCCCTTCACGAGAGAGGGAAAGCTGCTCTCTCTTTCTTTCTGTGATCAACCGACCGGCGAATGATCGGATTGTGCGCCGGCGGCCAGCGGCGTCGTGCCTCGATGCTCCCCGGACCGAATGTCGTCCGATCGCAATCGCCCTAAGAATAGTTCACGATCGTCTACAGCCGCATTACATGACGCAAATAGCGTAGTCCGCCTCCTGGTATCCGCCATTAGAAAAGAGCCAAGGAAGAAGGTCATGGGATACCTGGTCGATGGGATACGGTCATCCTTGCATGGGGGTAAAATATATTTATCGCCAAGATCGATGCCAAGGAAACGTCCAGTGAAGTACTGCTTTTCAATTAACCGTCGATTAAATTCAACTGTCAGTGAAGTCAAGCTTGACATTAACCGACATGCTTCAATATTATGTTTAATTCTTTCTTTTGTCATAATAAAAATAATAATAAATAAAAAAGTAAAACTAATAATAATAATAAAACTCGAAATCGATCACTTCGTTGTCGACGCTAATTCCCTTAGCGGCTCACTATTTTTTATTTCAAAAGACCATCATCAACAAAGTGATTCTCCTTGATGATAAATCGCCTTCATCAATACGAAAATGTCATGGTACAGAGTATTACTGCTTGAACCATCCGGGACCTCGACCGAATCTCCGAAGTGCTTCTCAACAGAAGAGAATCCGGGAAACGCGCTACGTGATCGGACTATGTCAAATCTCGAAAACGGAAAAAGTCTTGAATTCTACGAGAAGATTGAGAGAGGAAGTGTGATTCCTGCTCTCGTCGACAGAGAAATTATCGGATAACAGCGATATCTTGTCGAGTATCCGTGAAATATAAAGGATCACTTCTCAACGAGATCAATGATCCATAACTTTTTCTACTAGTAGAGCATTGGACTTTCTATTATCGTCTTTTCTCCTTTCAACGGGTTCATAAAATTTTCTTAAGTGTAGTAAAATTGAAAAAAACTTTTAATGCAATATATTTATAAAAGATATATAAAAATGTTGCTTATACAAGCAAAATAGTCTGAAAATGTGTTTTTAAATAACAAATATTTTGTAATAGACACTTTTCCTCGGCAAATTTTTCATTTTTGTAAAACTATACAAAAAGCTAATTGTAAATTTAAATTTAAATAAATGTCGCTGACGCACTTCGGTTTTAACACTAAACGTAAAAATACCGTTATATATTGGCAAGATAGAAAAAAGCTGTGAGCAACCGCCGTAACTCGATAAAACAACAAAAGCAAGCGAAAATAGTATGAAACGCGATGTATTCCGCAACCGGAAACGCATCGCGAGATCTTAACTATTCAATGAACGTTTGTTCATTCACGCTACGTGACGATGCATTATCCATCTCCGTGCACTTCGCTCGAACAAATGTATTTTATCAATACAACAAAGCTCTTGATATCGTCGTTTCGCATCGTATATTGTTTGCAACGCGATGATTGGAAAAAATCTCATGTTCCTTGACATTCTTTGTGACAAGCAAAGACGCATGGGCGTACGGTTTACTTCAAAGCGCTAGTTAGCGGTAACCTAATAACGATAATCGATCGACGAAGCGTCAAGCGCCTTGTTCGCCATCGAGAGAATCTCATGACGCGAGTATTTTTTTTTTTTTACAGACACTGAGGAAAGAGATCCCTCTTTTTGTGTCCATGAGCTGGAAAAGATTTTCGAAGTGGCAAGCGTCATTCTCCAAGTTCAGTGGCGAAGAAAATAGCCTTGAAAGCATTTTCAATCCATCGCTAAAATAAACCGATGATTTTAGAAAATACATGGATATGTTTAAAATGTATCACTTAAAAATAAAGAGAAATTAAGTTAAATCGATGATTTCCATTGATGATTTGATAGTAAGCAAATTTCATCAAAGGTAACGAACATATTTAAGATAGCTATTTCTTAAAAAAAAAAAAAAAAAAAAGAAACAATAATTCAAAAATAAAGAATAATTATTTCAACAAATATGTTTAACTTAGAATCCTGTGTTATTATATAATAGAACACTCACAACGTAAACAACATTAATATAATTTAATAAAATTACTTAAATTACTTTCGTCAAACAGATTATTCTTTATCTGTAATCTTCGAGATTATTAACAGATTATTCTTTATCTATAATCCTCGAGATTATTAACATCATTACAAGGCAACTGATTAAAATTGTGCGTCAAAATTGTTGAAATGCCATATATATAACGTATTATATATTACGTGTAACACATTAATCACTACGTTTCACTAACGTATAGATTGCAATTTTTACAGAAATAGTTTACAAAACTTAAAAGTACGCATTTCTCACAGAAGTAACTGGAAGCAAAACTTCTATCAAAATGATAAAGTGCTGCATTAGAATAATTACTCTTTTGTTCGTACATTAATGAAAATTAAATTAAGAAATTAAATTAAGAGCAGGATTTTTTAATTTATTTATCTGTTTAATCTATATACTTCCAGTAATTACTATAAAAAAAATTAACAAAAATAAATAAACTCCTGTTTAAACATTAATATAATAAATCTTCAGTAGACGAGAAGGATTATGTTTTTATTTGCGAAATGTCCCATTTAATAAAACGAACAGAAATGTTATTAATCGCCCCAAAAAATTCGTGTTTCCTAATCTTCCTTTATAGTCAATATAGAAACCATAATAGAAAATGTCTGGTAACCGTGATAATCGAAAATGTTATAAAAAATGGCTCGTATCAGTGGCAAGACTAAACCAAAGGCTAACGACAACGCTTCTCACATTTCAACAGAGCGATAAATCATCTTTGATCGCCTCCCTCGAGACGTTCGTCGAGCCACTGAAAGAACGGGCATTTATCCTACCCCGCGATTTTTTTTTAACTTTGCGGCTAACAAATCTAAGCTCGACGATCTCGTAATGACGTGAACGCACCGCGGATGACAACGTGTACACGGCCAGTAAAGTTTCCGTGTCAATTAAGCGCACAAAGGGCGACGCTACGCGAACGGAAATTCGACGAGACGCTCGTTTCGCCGCGGACAATGCTTCTGTTAAGTCTGACAAATCCGATTGAGCGATTGTAACTCGAGAGTCCGAGGGGTCCGTCTCGCATTCGGTAGAGTACTTTTAAACTATAGCGGCGCTGTTTCGAGAGAGAGAGCAAGACGATCGATAAAGGGTTTCGCGTCCGATAGCGCAAATGCACGGAGGAAACGCCGGCACAGGCAGGCGAAGCGACTCGCGCGATTCGTGCGGCGCCAACTCCCCTGGGAAATTACGTAAGCGTCGATAAAAAAAAAAAGCAGCATTCATAATTTACGTGGGTGCCAATTGCGCATTTCAGGCACCGATCCATTGAAAGAGTATCGCTTTCGAACATCCCATTTGTGTGTGTACCCCGAATAAGTTACCGCTAGAAAATTACGCTCTGGTTTCCTCCTCAGCGTAGCGCGGTTTATCGAGATGAAAAATGTACGAATAAAAATAAAATTATTGTTGTAAAAACAATTCTTCTGCCGCACGTCTTCGTTTGCCAACAAAGACGTGCGAAATTCCTTCCGAATGTTTAGGTTGATACGTAACAAACAGTGAATTCGCCGACCAGAACGTCGTTTGCCACTTTCGTTAGCGAGATTAGTCATACGAGTCACATCTTCAAATTAACGTTCCGTTCGTTAATCGAAAAACTCAAGGAAAAACTCAAGATGAATCATATATGTGAGTCTGTGTGTGTATATATAAGAACGTAAGATATCGCGCAGTAATTCAGAGTGAACTTCAACGCCTATTAAGTACGATTTATGTCCGGTGCAGCGCAATGAGATTTGCGACATATCTCGCTATTATTTTCATGGCGTTTAACTTCGTTAACGCCCTACCATTTCCTCAATTTGACGACGGTGAGTTAGCTTCAACTTGTTTTGTAATTTGATTATTAATTACATCTGCCAACTCCAAACGTAACTGATTTCACTTTTCAAGTCAGATTTGCCAAATTTATTTGAGAGTTTGAAGACTAAGATATAATATCTTGTCTTGCTTGGAGATACTTTTTAAAATAAAAGATTTGACTATACAAATTTATATAATTTTATATATATAATAAACTCTCTATTTTTATAATCTACAACAGCAAAATAGCCTACATAAAAAGGTCTCCATACTTTTTCTAAAAAAAGTTTTTGACAGACAGTTTTTGGAAATTTATGCAATTTGAATGTAATTATATTATATTATAGTGTACTACTAGAGTCTAAAATATATATATACATATATATATTTTGTCTTATATCTATATATATATATAAGTGTAATTGATTT